GCTAAGTGAGCTGAAGAAAGAAAAGGAAGGAGGAGAGAGAGAGAAGAAACAGAAAAAAGAGGAGAACAAAGCAAACAAACTAAAAAAATACGGTGCTGAGGGAGCTGGCTGGTGGGGGAGGCTGTGCCAGTGGCTCTCTAGCTAAGCAGAATGGCATAACCCATTGAGAAGGGGTGGGGACAGTGCCCGGGGCTAGCTGAGTGGGAGAAAGGAAAGGAAGGAAGGGAGAGAGAGAGAGAGAAGAAACAACAACAACAACAACAAAGAAAAACAGCCCTGGGGGAACCAGCCACTGGGGGCAAGGCAGAGTGGACCCAGGTGGTAGTAAACACTAGTCTCTCCAGCCTAGCAACCGTGACCTTTTAGAAAGTGGTAGAGGCTACATAGAGGGAAGAAGGGTGGGAGGCAGGAAAGTGTGTATACCTGGTTACCAGTGCTCTCTCTCCTGTTGGGAGCTCTGTGAAGTTATCTTCTTGTACTCCCTGTCTGTGGTCCTTGGTGGCTGTAGTCCAAGACGATGAATCCATGCTGCATTAGTGGGTAGGAGACTGCCACTCTGTAGCTCTCGTCATTCTCTGTTCTCTGTCAGTTTCTTATTCCATTTGGTGCTTAATCAAGTTCTTTATCCTTTTATTTGATACTTAGGGCTCTAGGATTGATGTTTGTATCTATTTTACTCAGTTTTTCAGGTCTTTGCTGCAGAGGGATGACATGGTGCTTCTGTCAATAGCACCATGTTGTTTCCCAAGCTAGAGCTCTGTTCTCGTCTTTTTATATAAGTGAGGTCATACAGTATTTGTCCTTCCATAATTGACTTAATTCACCCATCAAAATGTCTTCAAGCTCCATCCATACTGTAGTATGTATCAAGACTTCATTTCTCTTACTGGCTGAGTGGTATTCTATCGTGTGTATGCACCACGTTTTGTATATTCAGCCATCCATTGATGGGCATTTAAATTGTTTCCACATTTTGGCTATTGTGAATAGTGCTGCAATGAACACTGATATACAAGTATCTGCTCAAATCTCTGATTTCAGGCTTCTGGGTATATACCTAGTAGTAGAATTGCTGAGACATGTGGTAGCAACTAATCTGAGAAGCTGAACTATATGAAGAATGCAGCATCAGGATTGGAGCAGGACTAATAATAACTGGCGATATGCAGATGACACAACCTTGCTTGCTGAAAGTGAAGAGACTTGAAGCATGTACTGATGAAGATCAAAGACTGCAGCCTTGGGTATGGATTATACTTTAACACAAAGAAAACAAAAATCCTCACAACTGGACCAATAAACAACATTGTGATAAACGGAGAAAAGATTGAACTTGTCAAGTATTTCATTTTACTTGAATCCACAATCAATGCCCATGGAAGCAGCAGTCAAGAAATCAAGCTACGTATTGCTGGATTGGGCAAATCTATTGCAAAAGACATCTTTAGAGTGTTAAAAAGCAACGATGTCACTTTGAGGACAAAGGTGTACCTGAACCAAGCCATTGTATTTTCAGTCACCTCATATGCATGCGAAAGCTGGACAACGAAAAAGGAAGACTGAAGAATTGATATCTTTGAATTATGGTTTGGTGAAGAATATTGAATATACCATGGACTGCCAGAAGAACAAACAAATCTGTCTTGGAAAAACTACAGTCAGAATGCTCCTTAGAAGCAAGGAAGGCAAGACTTCATCTCATGTACTTTGAACGTGTTATCAGGGAGGACCAGTCCCTGGAGAAAGACATTATGCTTGCTAAAGTAGAGGGTCAGCAAAAGAGAGGAAGACCCTCAAAGAGATGGATTGACACAGTGGCTGCAACGATGGGCTCAAGCATAGCAATAATTGTGAGGTTGGCACATGACCAGGCAGTGTTCCGTTTTGTTGTTCATAGGGTCGCTATGAGTCAGAACCCACTTAATGGCACTTAACAACAACAACATGGTAGTTTTATTTTTAGTTTTTTGAGGAACCACCTCAATGTCTTCCATAACAGCAATACTATTTTGCATTCCCACAAGTAATGGATAAGGGTTCCAATTTCCCCACATCTTCACCAATATTTGTTATTTTCTTTCTTTTTTATTATTATTAGCCATCTTGGGGGAGTAAGATGGCTCTCATTGTGGTTTTAGTTTGCTTCTCTCTGATGGCTAATGACGTTGAGCACCTTTTTCATGTGTTTGGTGGTCCTCCTTGGTGAAATGTCTGTTCAAGTCATTTGTCTATTTTATGTAGGCATTATTACTAATAATAGTTAGGCATAGAATAATGTTACGTAAATGTGGCAAGAGTGAGATCCTACTTCTGCCCGTGTGGAATTTTCAGGAAAATTTAGATGTTAAAGATTTTCAGGTTTGTTTACCCATTATTCCAGCTACTAAGTGTCCACCTTTGCAATTAGATTTTAGGATTGATTTTCAGCACAGTTTACAAGACGTGAGTATGTCCTTAAATGTTGTCATTAATGTCTGTTGGCTTGCATGATGTGTGCCAAGTTGATATTTGGCTGCCCTTTCTTTTATCAAGTTCTCAGTGCAGGTAACAGCCCTCTCTGCTTATTATAATTATCATTCTTTTCATACTATTCAAGTGTCACGACCACCTGATAACCCAAAACCTCATCATTCAGCTTTGTTTCTTCAAAATGGACTATAGATCAGAATATCAACGATTACAATACCATTAAATACCAAGATGCATCACCACCCCACTTCCAGCACAACTTGTCTTACTCTGGCATTCCTAGAAAGCAGAGTCTGAAACAAAAGTATAAGTATCTAATGGGGCATGTGATCCAGGGAGCTGGATTGAGGGACAAGGAAAGCAAAGCAGAGAAAGTAGGAGAGGCAGTACAAAGATGCATTGACAACTGGCCAAAGAGCTTGAAAAAGTGTTGCTGAATCCTATGGGACTGGATGAGGACCCATTTGAAATACATCTTGAGGGATTCTTCTGAGGAAATAAAGGGAGATGCATTTGTTCACTCATTCCTCCCACATTGATTAAATATTTGCTCCACAAGTCATTACTCTTCACACTTCCAGGTTGCAGGTACTTGTATTCTGATTGGATTCCACATAAGACCTTAACACAACGTTGTCTTAGTTGGAGTCTTCCAGAGAAACAGAACAGACCTTGACCAATGGCTGATTGACACATGCACACAAAGATTGGACAAACTCTGTGGTGAAATTTTTGCTCCAGATCTTTCTCATGAGATCAGAGCAGTCTCCATCTGAGACCACATTCTTGCTTAGCTTTTTCCTTACTCTGAAATGTCTCCCTTACTCCCTTTCTTCTGAGAATACTCCAGCCCCAATGGCTGCACCTAAGAATCCCTGTTTTGGGCTCTGCTTCTAGTGAACTAACCTAAGACAGAGTTGAGAAATGATGAAAGAGGCTTGAGGGGGATGGTGTTGGGCTGGTACTATTCTATTGCTTGACATGGGTTTGTTAACTTTGCGATAATTCATTAATCTGGGCACTTATGATTTATGCGTTGTTCTGAATTTATGTTATACTTTAACATAATAGTTTATTAGAGAGAGAGAGACTTGGTCAAAGGAAAGGTTACATAGCTTTCCAAATTCTTGAGTAGAGTACTATTAGCCTCAGAATCAATCTAAGAGTTTCATTATGCTTGGAAAGACTACAAACACCCTCCAGCATCCTATAAACTACTCATAAAACTCATGGGACTGGGAGGCTAGCTGCAGGACTCCTACCTACGGTATACCATACCATTTGCTTTCAAGTCAATTCCTACTCATGGTGACCCCATGTGTATCAGAGTAGAACTGTGCTCTAAAGAGTTTTTAATGGCTGATTTTTCAGAAGTAGACCTCTAGACCTTTCTTCTGAGGTGGCTCTGAGTGGACTTGAACCTCCAACTTTTGGTTAGCAGCCAAACACATTAACCATTTGCACCACTCAGGAACTCCTTACCTACATTAACTTCTTCCTTAATCATTCATGAAAAACTAAATAATGCTTATCTAGATAAACAAGCATATTCAGCTTTAATGAATTCTAAAATCTCAGTGGCTTAGCAAAACAAAAAGTTTATTTGTTCCTTAAACAAAGTCTATTGTGGTTTAGCCCAGCAATTCAGGCTTCTTTGTCCGTGGTAACTGACAAAAAAGGAGACGAGGATGCCTTTATTCCAAACATAAAATACTTTATTTCCTGTAAAAAGAATTTTCCCATGCACATCAGAATGATACTAATGACTGGCCATATGTTCTTGAAGTGCTTTTCCTATGGTGGAGACTGGTGTCTCTTGTCTCTTTCTCTCTTGAGGGGAGGTGCGGATTCCTGAAACTGCAGTTCAGGATTAATGCCAGCAGAGGAGCAGAACACCAAAGAAACTTGCACCAACAATCAAATGTTTCCATCTGGAAGAGGTATCGGTCACTTCTGTGCACAACCCACAGGCAAGAACTAATCAGCGGTTCACTCTCCAACACCTGCAACTTCTGGGAGCTGGAGTGTCAGAAAATATAGCTATCCCATGTGCTCAGAAGAAAAGAAAGTTACATACACTAGGAAGCTCTACCAAGTCATGTCTGGTTTATCTAAAACCAATTTTGGAAGCATTATATGGGACAAGGGAAATAGCCAGTCTTTTCTTCCTGCATGTGATTTAAGAGAAGTCCCTGGTGATACAGACAGTTAATGTGCTTGGTTGCTAACCAAAAGGTTGGAAATTTGAGTCCACCCAGAGGCACCTCTGAAGAAAGACCTCATGATCTACTTCTGAAAAATCAGCCACTGAAAGCTCTGCAGAATACAGTTGTACTCTGATACATAATGGGGTTGCCATGAGTCAGAGTCAACTTGCTAGCGACTGGTTTACTTGTTTTATATGACATAAATTCTGTGAGAATGGAGACTGTTTGAACTTTTTTATATTCCAGCTTCCCACATAAATCTTTTGTGTATCTGTCTACTTCCATTTCAAACTTGAAAATTAATTGTGTGGCTTTATAATTAGGAAGTAACAACTTAAAATGTAATAAAATGTTTATAAAGCAGAGGAGACAAGGATGCCTTTATTCCAAACATAAAATACTTTATTTTCTGTAAAAAGAATGACACTAATGATTGGCCATATGTTCTTGAAGTGCTTTTCCTATGGTGGAGACTGGTGTCTCTTGTCTCTTTCTCTCTTGAGAGGAGGTGTTGATTCCTAAAACTGCAGTTCAGGATTAATGCCAGTCTTATACGTACTGTGGAAAAGACCTTCTCTCTTTGCTAAGTGAATTAGTCCACATGAATCTATAAACCATGAACTTGGCCTTCCTTAGTCCTCATAAAACATTACAATATAACATATAAAATATATGCCAATAAAGTTATACATAATAACTGTGCATCAGTAATTCCTGAGGTTAAATAAAATACTGAAAATTATGTAGTTCTTCAGGAAAACAGCTTCCTTGGGCTCAGAAAATATAATTTTTCATTCAATGGTTGGTAACAGTTGGTCAATTCTTTCTGCATTTGAACCAGCTGTTAGCTTTCAGAAGAGTTAAAACACGCTTAGTTTTTGGATCAAATTTGTATTGCCTTGTCCCATGGAAGAAATAGAAAAATCCTAGAAATAAAACAAAAGAGAATTATTATAATATAGAAGTAGTTTCTAGTTTTAACTTGTGTTCTCAAAAATCCCAAGTCATTTGTGAACACAAATATTTTTGGCAGTTGCTGTTCCAAATAACAATCTTGATGCTATTACTATGGCAAAAAAAAGGAGAAAATACACCTATATTCACTTACCATCTTTCTTGAAAACAGCATCAACTTTATTGCCAATTCCAGGAAAGTCATGAGCTATCATTTTGGGATAACCTTTATCCATGGTTCGTTTATATTCATCATACCTGGTAGAGAAAGAATTAGTAGTGTCAGAACCTTCTGTTAAACCTGTAGACGTTTCGATCATTACGGGGAGTTCCCCAGAGGGAATTGAATAAGAAATTTTAATTTAACCGGACATTTGTAAAACGGAGGGTGGAATGAAGTGAGGTAGGCTCTTGGGTAGACTATCAGATCTATAAGGTCCTTCTGAACTCCAACATCTAATTCTAGTTTTCCAGTAGGTTCCACACTATGCCCTATTAAGGGGAAACGTTATGAAAGGTAAGTTCCTTTTGGCTGAAGTAGCTCTATAAAAATGAATGCCCTCATTTTTGCATTTTCTTTTTAAAATTCAGACCCACAACCTCCCTGGACTCCCAGGACAGGTATCACATGAAGATATTTGGTCAATAGATTAAATGGATGCTGGGATGGCTACAGCCATCCACAGAAAAGGCAGCCTGTCATAGCAACATTAGACTCACTTTGAAATGCACAGAACTTTCTTTCTATGTACAAAGCACTGAAACCCTAAATTTTTCTGCAGTCAGTCTTTACCTCCAGTACTTGTCAGCAACAAAGAAGTATGTTTTTCCAGTATCTTCCTCAGAAACAGCAGCATCGATATTCTTTACAGTTTTAGGGAAGCCAAAAGATGTGTAGATGTCCTTGGGGTATCCACGAAGCATGTTCTGCCCCTGAGCAGCCCAGTACTTATTACCTGTCAATCAAGAAATGGTCATGTAGATATATTGCTTAAGGCTCCCATAGACAGAGGAGACCTGGTGGCACAATGGTTAAGCACATTTCTAGTCAAGTTCTTGTTTCACATGCTGGAGCAGTGTCCTGACTTCACATTAGAATTGTCTATAGGGTCGCTATGAGTCAGAATTGACTCAATGGCAACAGTTTTTTTAGGGCAATTTTTTAAAATACTGATACCAGGATCCTACCCAAGACCAATTAAGTCAGTATATTTTTTAAAGCTTCCTAGGTGATTCTAATCTGCAGCCAAGCTTTGAGAATGACTGGTTTATGGAGTTGAGGGCTTCTTTCTGAAGCCAGGTGTTGAAATGACTAGAGTCCATTGTGCCACCTCAGTGATAGAAATCTTCTCCAGGTTGCCCATGGGCTGTGGAAGTTCACACCAATGCTATTCTAAGGGGCACAGTGTAGTAATGACTCACAATCTGTAATGACCTTCAACCCTGAGACAAATCATTGCATCTGACTGGAATAAGTTCCAAGTACTTAAACTTATGCTGTGTCCAGATTCTCTGTGTTTATACTCAGCAAGACCTGCACTACGTAAAAGTGGCCTTATATCCTGAAGTCAAGATTGGTCTGTTCGTACAAATATGCTTACGTACCCTTCATGAAAAAGCAATTTGAAACTGTTTTCGTGTCATGGTATAAGAGCTAGAAAGCCTTTTTCAAAGTTTTTTGCCCATCCCAACTGTGTTTAACTTTTTGCCTTGAGTGTATGACTGGGTCAAGTGTCGTAATGCTTGTCTGCTTGTCCTCAAAACCAGGTGCCTATCATTGGATTGTGTTTCATTCTGATAAAACCAAAGAAGTTTGTTCCATTCAGTTCACAAAAATTTAACACTTCTCGTACTTTATGTGCTTATATATTGCCTGGAAATCTTGTTAAATTTCAGATTTTGTCAAAAAAGTTCTAGGGTAGGACCAGAGATTCTGTATTGCTAACAGACTTTCAGGGAATGACAAGGCTGCTGGTCTGTGTGCCATACCCTGGAAGAAAGTCTGCAGCTCTTCCACCTGGCTCTCTCCCCCGCTCTCAGAAAGGTTCTTTGTATTAAGATAAAAACCCATTGCCATGGAGTCAACTCAACTCATGGGGGCCCCGTGTGCTACAGAATAGAACTGCACCATAGGGTGTCTTGGTTGTAAGCTTTATGGAAACAGATTGTCAGGCCTTTCTTCCACAGCACCACTAGGTGGATTTGAACCCCAACCCTTAGATTAGTAGACCAGCACAAACTTTGCACCACCCAGGAACCTTGTGTATTAAGGTAGATCTTAGGAAATCACACAAACCAAAAATTTCAATTCCATAGTCTATAGAATTGGCCCAGATCTCTCAATTTTACTTGTGAGTGACAGCCTCAAGAAATATGGGGTGAGTTTTAAACACAAGGAGTCCCTGGGTGGTGTAAACCAAAGGGTTGGAGGTTTGTGTCTACCCAGAAGTTGCCAGGAAAAAAGTTCTGATGATCTACTTCCTTAAAATCAGCTGTTGAAAACCCTATGGAGCACACTTGTACTCTGACACATATGAGGTCGCAATGAGTCAGAATCAACTTGAAAGGCAGTTGGTTATCGGTTTTAAATACATAAGCAATCTGCACAGAAAGCATTCATAAAGGTCCAGATTCATAAACAGATAGGTCCGAAAATTTGTATTTCCAGGCATTAGCTTTCTACTTAAAATGACTCAGAAATACAGTATTCAATTTGTAATTCAGGTGATGGACTCCCCTTGATTTGGTAAGTGAGACTGTTAGATTTTCAAAGGTCCAGGGAGAGAAAATATCCAATACCATCTTATATCTCAGCCCAAAACCTCATGGGAAATTAATCCACAAAAACAGTAAAAAAATATGCAGAAACATTACCTTTGAAAAACCGGATTTCATCTCTATAAGCAAGTTCATAAGCAGCTTCAAGTGTATTTGGCAGACGGGGCCAGAAAACAGAAATGAAATTGAGCTCAACTTCCGGGTAGAAAAAATTTATACGCATGTAGAACCTGATTTGAAAAAAAGAAAAGAAAAAAAGGCTTTGATCTAATCGCTAGCAATTTCTGGTGGGTGTTCAGCTCTTTCCTACTGCTGAAACTAGTAGTGTCCTAGTAAATGTTTAACATCTGGCTTAAAAAAAAAAGTCCTGCTTTGGAGATACGTGGTAGTGCACCATTGTATAATACCCCACTGTACAAATAACTCAAGAACATAGACAAATAATAAAATGTAGTAAAATAATTAGGAAGCAATGAATTTTGATTATTACCTTTGGTTTTAACATAATTTATTTAATTGTAAGTTTATATAATTTAATTTATAATAATGGCTTTGTTAACAACTGGCTCTTAGAAATGGAACAATCAGCTCTTAAAATTTAGCATTGAGCTTTGGGAAGCAATTAGGAACCAGCTTCAGCACACCATTGGTTGGAATACAACAGTAATACCCCACATTTAGTGAGCACTTAACAACACGCCAGGTCCTGTGCCTACATCATGCCTCACCTCACAAAAACCCTACAAAAGACGATTGCTCCCAGCTCACAGATGAGAAATTGAGGTCAAGGAGGCTAAGGGAGCTAGTATCTAAGGTCATGTAGCTGGTAAGAGGCAGAGGTTAATTTTAAACTCAGGTATGATAGCCACTCCCTTTGTCGTCCTTTCGTTGGGAGTTTATTTAGTTGATTCTATAGTCCATAGAGACTGGGTTAACTGCACAGCACAGACTGCCATGGGGCCAACAGAGGAGTTTTCCAGACTCCAGAAGGCCTTCAACAAAACCACACAGGGACTGGTGCACAGGAAAGAACATGGCCTGGCCATCAGGAATCTGGCTTCTAGGTCCATCCTGCCTCTGCCTGCCTCTGAAACCTTAGGCAAGTAACATCTCAGATACCATCTCTACGCTTCTGAGTCTTCATGACACGGCAACATTTAAATGACCTCAGTGTCCTTTCAATTCCTGTAAATCCTAGTTCTGGTCCTGTCCCATGGCGTAATCCTTCAAATACTTGCTTTGATAGGCATGCCCTGCTACCTTGAGAGCTTTGCTTTAAACCCAACAAAAAACAAACCTTGACACTTCCCAGCAAGGAGCCACACCCTGAATGGTTTACATCCAGCATTATCTTATTTACTCAAAAATAGTAAAGAAGAGAATGGATAGAAAGCATTAGGAGTCAATTTCCTGCATTCTGAGATAGATATGACCCCAAAGCCATAGATCACCAACCACAACTCTTCAGGAAGGAAGCCTCCTCTCTGCTGAGGGGAAGCGAGCCTTTCAGACTGCCCCGACTTTCTGTGTGAGGATGATTTTCAGCAGTACTGATCTTTATGTGGACTGCATCATTCAGAAAGAGTGTATTATTATTTTGTTTGGTAGGGAGAGCATGCCAGTCCCTGTATGTGTGGGAATCTCAGAGTTTTTGAATCCATACCCTGCAGAGGGAGACCTAGGATCCTTCTTCCAGGAGGAGGGAAGTGCTACGTAGTGACTACCCATATCTGCTCAAGGGGGGATCCACATGAACTCTTGGGGATTCTCCCAGCAACTACTACTTCTCTTCTCTGGTCCTCCAGGGGACAACAGAGACCTGTTATGGCCACAAGTTTTGGGAGGGCCATCTTTTGCAGCATGGAAAGGATAAAGCTTAAAATGTTGCCTTGCCCTTCCGGGCTGCAGACTGCATTACCTTCATTGGGCTGATGGTATTATGAAAAGGACTCATATCTCTGAATAAAGTTTATCACCATAAACAGGTATAATGAAAAAGGTCCTGGAGTACAGTTCAGAAGACCAATTTCTGCTCTGTCACCAGTGACCTCTGTGCCCCGAAAGAGTCTTTTCTTCTCTCTGTCTTACTTTATTGATCTGCAGAATGGGATTATATTAACAGATCTTCTACTGCAATGGTATTTTTTCTGAGAATCAAATGACATAATACTTGTAGGAAAATAAAGTTGCTATAAGTAATTATATTGTATTAATGTAAGCTATTACACCTACATAATTATAAATATAAACAAATATAAGGTAAATAACATGTGAAGTAGTGGTCCATAGAGTTCATAGTAGTGAATGTTGTTAGTATTACAAATACAGAATACAAAGAATAATTGATGTCTTACTTGTCTTTAAAGAACATCACTTCTCCTCGAATTGTAGTTATAGCATCAAAGGTGAGCTTACTATCACATGCTTGTGGGGTCACTGGGGCTATTGGCTGAGTGGAATCTGGGGAAGGTCCTAAAGAAACCAAAAGACCTGGAGTTAGTTTAGGCTGGCATTGAAAACTACATAAACAATGAAAGACAGCTTCTTAAAGAATACGACTAAAGGTTGTTCTATTTGAAATGGGTATAAAGGTCAGCAGCCTCTTATCTGTGGTGTTTTTCCTTATACTTACCATAAATGGCCTGGATGCCATTGACATCATCCTGAGATAGCTGAACATCACCATTGAAGAAGTAGGTTGGGTACATTAAAGCCCCAATATCAGTAGAATGAGACAGTCCAAGGGAATGACCTAATTCATGAGCCGCAACACGATACAAGTTGTAATCTAAAAAAGCCAACAAACCCACTTGCAATTATTTGAAATATATTTCATCTTTGAGTCATTTAAGTAAGAAGTAATCTATACTCTATAAGGAGTAATGCCCACATTTTCAAAGGGAGGTATTGAAAAATACATACAACTTTTTTTTTTCCTGAAAGCAGGAGGAATGAATTTACTAATAGTGAAGAGGCAGGTTAAAGTCTCACTATGATTACACTGATACAATTAAAAGACAAACTCAACCGACAATAGATTGGTCAATCTTATCACCAATTAGATAGCATGTATTATTTCTCAGAGAATCAATAAATTTCTATTAATATTTTTCCTTATTTACAAAACTGAAAAAACCTCCCTTCTTTTAATTTCCAAGTAATCTTACTACTACTGTTAAATTTTGGTGTGTCCCTCTAGTTACAAAGAGTCTATGAAGATACCCACAATAAAACATTAAGGTTTTCAACATTTTCTTAATAGAAGTTTTAGAATGGCGTACTTATAGACAATAAAATGTTGTTACTAGCAGAAGTAACCTTCTCTTACACTTTTTTAAGTGTATCATTAATTTTCTAAGTGACAGTAGAAAAATGCATATTTCTATTAATGCGTTCTTGCAGTTAAACCAACCAATATTGCAACGAACTGTGAAGGGGTGGGGGGAAGATAGAGGCAAAACTGGCTGACTTACTTCTTAAATCGTTGGTCCACCTTTCATCTTCGTCAAAATGAACATCCCCTCCAATACCTGGGCCTGGTTGAAAAGCATGAGCTAGGTTTCCTCCAGGTCCTTCAAAGGGAGAATTGTCATGATGATCTGCAAAAAACAGAATTCAGCAAAGGTCCCTCTTGGTTCTTGTTTAGGCTAATCCAAGAGGGCAAGCATAGCTTTGTTAAGAGGCCAACAGACTTCCATCAAATGTGATGTAGTTTCCCTCCTTAAAACTATAAAATCAACACTCCTCCTAAACAAGGAATTCCAGCTGCAAGCTGAGGAGTTTTAGAAGCAAGGTGAAGTTAAGACAAGAATACTTTCATGATACATATAAGAAGAGCTTACCTCCTGACTGAAAAGATATCATTATGTCTGCTTGACCCTCAAAGACTTTGGTGAACTTCAGAGGTGTGACATTACTCCAGAGTTGAAAGGCTTTCTCGATTGCACTGTCCACATCTGCGTGAGACATATCAGGTGTGTAATTTTCAATCCTTAAAATTAAATAGGAGAGAATAAAGACAAATTAGACCTTGTTTCTTCCTGCTTTGATGGGAAATAGCATTGACACTCCGCTCCTCAGTCTGGTACCTGTAGGTCAGGTGTGTTTTCTCCCACTGAGGATGTCCCTCAGTGAGGACAAATTGAGCCACATCGGGCACCCCACATCTGGGCTGCTTCATCACATTCAGGGTTTCAGCATCTGGCTTCCCAGTAATCTTCAGCCCAAAGAATTCCTGCATTTGCTTCAGCTTTTCAACCACTGGGCTGTTCTTCCTCTTCCTTTCAATTTGGTTACCATCATTCTTCAGGGTGTAGTAGTTTTCCAGGTATTTCTGGTAAAACATAAAATTATTGAAACACTGGATGGGAAATCTTTCTCATTTGAAAAAAATAATTGACAGCAGGAATTTTTAGCTGAAGAAAAGAACTACTTTTAAAGTTTGTGTTTAGATTTCATGATCCTTATTATCCTTATTATTGGTGAAAAATGCAAATTCAGAGTAGAAACCTCCCTACCATTAGTTACTATAAAGTGGGAATTATAATTTGTAGAGCCAAATTTGCATACTGTTCCTTTCATTCCCTCTCATCTCTAAATGGAAAAAGAAGGTCTATGCCTGGCTAGGTACATTTTTGAGGAAGATGCTGTTTCTGACATGCAAAAAAAGGTTTCTCTTTAGAGGAAACACATCCTTAAATAAACTTTATACTACTGTGGAAAAATGCATGCAATTTCTTGCATGTGAAATTCAGTATTTACCTGCACCATCTCCACATCTTGATCTTGTGTTTTTGAAGGCGCTGGGAAGCCATGAGACCCTGTACCCCAAAGCAGCAGCAGGAGCAGAGGAAGGCTGGGCAAGCTGGCCATTGTTTTCTTTCTGTGTGCAAGACAACTGATGGCTCCCTACCTGCCTGCTGCTCCAATATCTCACTGATGAAGCTCCCGGTTTATATATACAGTCCTTGCACTTCCAGGAAGCCAAAGGCTGTCTGACTCATGTTTCATAACATCCTCTTGATTAGCATAAACAGCCTGAGCAATCTTCATGATTAACCTCCAACAGGATATTAATTTCACCGTGTTGCAATGTCATGATTAATATCTAACAGGACCTGTGCAAAGGAGACACACTTCACCATGTAAGTAGTTGTTTGCTCCATTTCATTTCTATTTTATTTGAGAAAGGCCTCTATTACATACACAAGTCACAGAGCACACCATAGTCTTTTTTAAAAATGAACTTTGCAAACTTGATTCTGCTGGTCGTCAAGTGCTCCTGGATTCTGAACATACCATGCTCCCAGGCAGAAGGCAGAACTGCTGACTTTGTGTACCTTATGGCTGCTCAGCACCTATACTGATTGAAGCTCAGCTCCTCAGGCCGAACTTAGCAGTGACTCTCCCAGGTTCTCTAGGATTCCCTTCTGCTTTTGCTAAGCCAGCTGATACAGTATTTCAATAGCACTATAGCTTCCCTTAATCTTCACTCAGTCCCAAGATTTGAGAGCCTTGGCTAAGAAGCCCCCTAGTCTGCCAGTGGAGTAAAAGATAACTCCCTGCCCTGTCCTATAAACATCTAGGACAAATAAGAGCCCTTCTCTGAAACCTGTCAGAATGGGCCAGGTAATAGGTGCGCATCAGCGGAAGAATGGATAAACAAATTATGGTATATTCAGACAATGGAATACTATGCAATGATGAAGAACAACAATGAATCCGTGAAACATCTTATAACTTGGAGGAATCTGGAAGATATGCTAAATGAACTTAGTTGCAAAAGGACAAATATTGTATAAGACCAGTATTATAAAATCAAGAAAAGGTTTAAACACAGAAGACAACATTCTTTGATGGTTACGAGGGTGGGGAGGGAGGGAGAGGGCTATTCACTAACTAGAAAGTAGACAAGAATTATCTTAGGTGAAGGGAAGGACAGCACACACTACAGGGGAAGTCAGCACAACTGGACTAATCTAAAGCTAAGAAACTTCCTTAATACAATCAATCATGTCAAGGGACAGAGTAGCAGGGCAGGGGTCTGGGGACCATGCTTTCAGGGGACATCTAGGTCAATTGGCATAACAAAGTTTTTTAACAAAATGTTCTGCAACCTATTTTGGTGAGTGGTGTCTGGAGTATTAAAAGCTAGCGAGTGGCCATCTAAGATGCATCAATTGGTCCCAACCCACCTGGGATAAAGGAGAATGAAGAACACCATGGACACAAGGAAAGTGTTAGCCCAAGAGACAGTAAGGGCCACATAGACCAGAGACTTCATCAGCCTGAGACCAGAAGAACTAGACGGTGCCCAGTTACCACAATGACTGCTCTGATAGGGAACACAGCAGATAGTCCCTGATGGAGCAGGAGAAAAGTGGAGTGCAGAACTCAAATTCTGATGAAAAGACCAGACTTAATGGTTTAATTCAGACTGGAGGTACCCTGGAAGATGTGGCCCCTGGGCTCTCTGTAAGCCCAAAACTAAAACCATTCCTGAGGCCAACTCTTCAGACAAAGATTAGACTGGACTATTGGTCAGAAAATGATACTCGTGAAGAGTGTGCTTCTTAGCTCAAGTAGGTACATGAGATTAAATATGCAGCTCTCTTCGGGAAGCGAGATGAGAAGGCAGAGTGGATCAGGAGCTGGTTGAATGGACACAGGAAATCCGGGGTGGAAAGGAAGAGTGTGCTGTCACAGTATAGGGAGAGCAAGTAGGGTTACAAAACAATGTTATGTATAAATTTTTGTATGAGAAACTAACTTGAATTGTAAACTTTCACTTAAAGCACAATAATTAAAAAAAAAAAAAAAGAATGGGCTGGGTAAGGCAGGAGCTGGCCACAGACCAAGTGTGAATTGGGTTCTTATTTTTAACCATTCTTGTTCCTCTCCATGTGGGCACATCTTTGTCCCGTGAAGGTAGGTGACATTTATGCATTCATTCAGGTATTTCTGCAATCATCCATTCAAAATATTTTCATCTAGCACCTTCTGTGCACCAGTTACTAAAGGAAAACCAAACCAAAATTGTTGCCATTGAGTTGATTCTGATTCATGGCAACCCCATGTGTTACAGAGTAGAAATGCACTGCATAGGGTTTTCAAGGCTGTGACCTTTCAGAAGCAGATTTTCAGAGGCACCCTCTGGGTGGATGTGAACCTCCAACCTTTCAGTTAGTAGTCTATCAATTAACTGTGACATCCAGGGACTTTAATTACTAAAGGAGGGGGTGCTAATTAGTAAACAGATATCTCATGGCATATATATATGTGTATATATATATATATATAGCTTTAACAGAAGTCTTGACTTATCCAAAGTTCATGACTGCAATCATGTATAATCAAACCAGCTGGCACCACTCACCTAGGTGGTAACTCACTCCATCCTAGCCAAGTGGCCAACCTTTACATTTCAAAGGACTTCAAGCTGAAGGTGATCTTATATATAATCAATCATTAATCCCTATCTTTCCTTTGCTCTCTATGTATATAGACCCCTCTCTCCACTTGAATGGCTGAGTGCTTTGTATTTTTACTTAGTGCTGCCCAGCTCCAGCTATGTTATTCCTCAATAAAATTCCTCTTCTTTCACTCCTAAAAGAGTATGAGATTTTCTTCTTTGACATTTCTGGTGTCAGAATCGTGATTTCAAAGTACATTATCTTTGACAATCTCTGGGGCATCCAGGCAAGGCACAGGCACAGTACCTGCTGAGCCACTTTGGGCTCTCTGCTTCTGTGAATTCTTGGGAACTGATTAAGGTAAAAATGCTCTCAAATCTGAGCTCTGCTCCCTTACTTTAATAACTCTTCAGGTATTATTGTGGATATGTTTTGGTTCTTGCAAATAAAACTTTGTTTCTTGTTACTGTCATTATAAAATGGGGAATGTCATGCCTAAAGGAGATTTGGATTCACCTTCTGGGACTCCTGCACACTACATGAACAAGCAAGCGTTATGGTCCCTTATCATACATGTTCTTGTCTCTGGCATAGCCTCAGTGAAGACAGTTTGGAAATTTATTGACCACTTTGGGGTTCTTTTGATCTCTGTAAGTTAACTTTTATGCACAGTAAGTTAAGAGAACCGAGGCTCCCGGATTAAATAGCCCCAGTGGGATACCTATTTTGATTGGTATGTTGAGACCTCTAAAGACATCAAGACAGTAAAACTGCTTCCCTGCAGGATACTGTCTCTAAATTAACTAAGCAGAATAAAGAATTACAATGTCACATTCAGCTCCCACCCTTTCTGCTCGCTTGCTGACTGGTACTTCTTTATACCCTTCTTTGCTTTCCTACTCTTCAGATAACACTTTATCTGAACTTCTCCTTTTCCCTAAAAAAAAAAACAGCAAATAAACCCTTGTCTGAAATATTCTTTAAAATTAGCCCCAGCAGTGATGTTGAAGATTACCCTATATCACTTTTGCCCCACGGATACACTCATAATTATGTAGCATTGTGAAAGATTTTCCTAAACTCTGTGAGGACCCCTACAAATTTTCTGAAGAATTAAAAATCCTTGTTGAAGCCTACCAGCCTGGGCTCCTGACTTATATCACTTTGTTCACATGATCACTGGCCCAGGGGAAGCCCAATTATGGCTAGAACAGGCAGAATGGGAAGATGTCCAAGGTTAGCTTAGCCTTAAATATTGATAAAACAGTCACCAAGCTTTTGGAAGACTTTTGAGCCATTAGTAAAAAAAAATACTGGAGACTATCCCAGAGGCCTTTCCTCTACTAATTTATTGGACTAAAATTCACAATTGTAAACAGAATAAAGATGAAAGTGTTTATGACTGCTCAAGAAGTTTTCCCAACTCTCTGGCCTCACTTTGACTGCACTTGGTGTCGCCAGTGCTTTCAATGCTGTTTTCATATCCAGTCTTAAACCTGAGACTTCAGCACTAATAGTAAAGCAACATCAATTAGACTGGGATATAGCTCTTATTGTTGAGCTAATCAACATAAGTTACAAACTTTCTCAGACTCTTGAAGCCAAAAGTTTTCTAGGGCTAACAAATTAATGGCCCTTAAGTTGTAATAATTACAATCCCCTAGTCAAAATAAAAGTGCTAAACATTCCAGTGGCACAAAGGTGGGTATTTGTCACTATAGTAAAAAACCTGGCCATTGGAAAAATGAATGCTATATGCTAAAAAATAAACAAAAGACTGACATAGCCCACCCTTAAAAAAAATCCTACAATCTGATTCAGAATGAAGGGGCTCTTGCAACAAAACCAGGACTTTTCCTGTGGTAGCTCTTAATCCACAAGGATAAAAAAAAAAAAAAGTAATTTATTTGTTAACAGAGAAAACTTGCCAATTTTTAATTGACACTGGATCCACCCAATCTGCTATTAAGCCCATCTGTTTACAAAAGCCCTAGCCAGAGTACTAAAACTCCAAAAGCAGTGGTGGTTACCAATCAAGAACAAAAGTTGATCCATTCCCAACCTGTTTTGATATCTCTTGATCCTGTTGAAGATTTACACCATTTTTTTTTTCTTTTTGCTCAATTCTGGTACCACTGTCAATCTATTGGGAAGAGATATTTTATCCAAATGAAATTGCCATTTACAACTTATTGAAACGGGGAAGTATTATTGAGTCTGCCTGATATCCGTAAGTCAACAGAGATAGACTCTGAATTAGACAATATTCAGGAAGAAGAAGCCATTTGCTGTATGCAAGTGCTTGTCATGCCTCATCAAAATTCAAATCAGCCTAGTTCTCTCCCTTCTGACACCTTTTCCCTAGTTCCTGAAACCTTATGGACCACCACATCCACAGATGTAGGTCAAGTTTTTTCAGCTGAGGTGACTCAAATTCAAATAGGTTTATCTAAACCTCTGCCAAAAAATTTCCCAGTAGGTCATGGAAGCCCCATAG